CTCCGTCGAAGGATTCTCATCGTTTGAGTTTTTATCGCTGATATCGTCCATCATCGGAACATCTACGAGAGACAAAGCAAAGAGAACAAAAGATATATGACAAATGATATTACGTTATAAGTTAGAACGTTATTTACTATTTACTTTCTCTAACGATGAAAACAGTTAATGCAGAAGCGCGCGCGCATTTAAAAAAAGAAAAGGACAAAATAAAGATAGATAAAGTAAGAGAAAGGTAGATCCAGGTTTTACACGGTACGTTATAATAAGTATTTCATTATCGTTGCACCCATAAAAACGAAGGAATTCACAATGCAAGGACAAGGATGACCCTTCGACCAATGAAAGAAAATATGGCGTTCTTTTCTAGGTTGCAACATAGTTATCTACTAACTTATACAAAACAAATACATTCACGTTATATTAATATGGATATTAATAGTTAATTATGTCAAATTTTAATTGTAAAGTTATTGAGATAAAATGTAGAAAGGGTTGAGTTAAAAATGTGGTAGCTAATATGGAACACTTGGGAAATTTGTAGAAAACTTTTTCTAAAAAACATTATTTTTATCATTGAGAAAATATTTATTAAATTAAAAAACAGTAAAATAAATTGGTACTTTGTGATTTTTTTAAATTTTATTATACATTATATTAATTTTACTTTACTTGCCAAGATATTGTGGTGTTCCATATTAGGTGCTGTTTCATATTAGGAACAGTTACCCTAAATATAAATGCGCGTAGGTGTGCGTAATAAACAAGAACTCCGGCTAGTCGTTCGAAAAAAAAAAAACAGAAATAAAATAAAGAATTGAAAAAAAAAGAAAAAGATAGGAAAAAATACCCACGATTATTTATTTTCGTAGCCTTATTTATAATTATATCATGCACTTTGTCCTTTACTCGTTTAACTTATACACATTCAATCGTTATGTAATATACCAAGATTAATTCGATTCGGGGTTCAAATGAGTGAACGATGTATATATGTGTTAAAGTAAATATAATTTAAAATGATTTTTCTCTTAGTTGGAAAAACAAGAAAGGGGGTAGGATTAAACACACGATGTTTAAAAAAACGAGGAAACATTTGCTTAAAAATTGAGAAAAAAAAAAGATAAAGTAGTCAATTTTATTCGTTCGATAATGAAGTTTATGATTACGTTCGGTTACTGTATACACTGCTACTTATGTATGTGATATATGTATGCGTATATAAGTGTGTTATATATGTATGTATATATATAGGATATGTTTGAAAGTATACTTAATATACTCTCGTAATAGGAGAACGATGCGCTCGCGCAACAATGGCGAAGATGCGGATGATACGATGGCAACACGGAACGACACTGCCAATGCGAGAAACAGAAGGTATCTCTCCCGAGAAGTCTCGCTTGTTATTTCGGGAATACGTTCTTACTCCAAAACGTATTCTAAACTTAGATTCTCATAGAGGTGGCATACGCGAACGTAGTCGAACATTGTACATTTAGAAGAAGAAGAAGAAGAAGAGAGGAAACCACTCTTCACGTGATTGTCTTTTAATAATAATTTTAAAAACTTATTAAAACAAAAATAAGAAGTCTATTTACTCTTTACTAATAACAATATTTCAAATATATTTATTCAAGATCGAAGCATCATAAATACAAGTGGATTCTGTAAAGGATCAAAATTAAAATTGATAATCTTCTTCCTCTTCCTTTGCTTATTTTTATAAATATGAATTTCCCGCGAAGTACATTTCGCGCGCTATCTTTAGGTTCTTCGACTATGAAGACGATTATTTAATTCAAGTAAAATACTCGAGTGAGCCACTACAATGGCGCAAGGACCTGAAAAAAATATTCGAAAAAGCCACTATTGTGGCAGGCCGGCTAAGCACCATATCGATAATAGTAGTGCACTATTTTTATCTGATCGACAGTCGGTAAGATAAAAGTAGAGCACTACTATTACCAATATCGGCTTAGCCATGTTACTAGAATTTCAATATATTTGAGACAATTAGGAACACTGCAATTAGTGCAATTAGGAACACTTATTTATTTTTTTCTATTGTTAAGGTTCCTTGCCAGCGTTCCTACGGTCTGGAGTTTACTCCTTAAGAGCACTTATTCATTTTTTTTCTACTGTTGCGGTTCTATGCCAACTTTTTTGTTGTTGATAATTATGTTTTCGGTAGAAATCGTTTCACCTTCCCCGTTTGATTCAATGGAAATTACTTATGAATACGTGATATTTTCAAAAAGATACCGAACAAGAGCAGTTGATTAATAATTGATGGTTGATGCGAGATCAATTTTAATATCATTATTCGCTAAATCAGTGTATTATTGTTACAATATTTACGATATTCTATAATAGACATTGCAATTATTTTTTTTATTGTTCAAATATATAATAATTACATTATATATTAATATACGAAAACATTATATTCTTTAATAAATGTCACGAGAAATTTTTCTCTCGTGTAAAGAATAAAATCATTTAATTTCTTCTAGTAAATTTAATAACGCTAAGCATTATATTTCACATCGATGGTATAAGTTTATAAGAGAGAAGATTCATGTTGGTAGGTATCATGCTCCAATAAATAAATATAAGGGTCTCCTCTTTGAAAGCATTTAATAAAGATGAAACGAGTTTAAGATGTTTTTACGTGTGAAGTCAAAGGGTGCACTTTGTTTAATGAAATATACAAAAATGGAAAGGGGTAATATATCCTAAGGATGTTGTGAGATTTAGCAATCAGTAATACATAATTGTACTTTGTCACGTAAACGTCATAAATAAAATCATTTGTTATTCGATCAATCAGAGAATTACAATTATGCGAATGGTCTTTCACGTGAAACATTATTTTATACATTAAAGAAAATATCTGATCATCAAATTGTGTACCTTTAATCTAAATTTGTAGTACACGTGTCTTCAATGTTACTTCAAGGCGTGTGTCTAATCGATCAATAACGTAGAAGTTGAACAAAAGAAAAATTGTTCTTCTAAAAATAAATCTGATCTTGGTCGAGGTTCGATCCGACATACGAATTCGCTAATTCCCGTTTCTCTACCCCTTACAACCCCCCGCTGATCATTTATTTCTGCAGGATGCAATTTAAAAGAAACGATCGTTATGCAAGAATCGCAGTTGAGAACGATTAGCATCGACTTTTTCTTTCGTTGTAATTGTTTCTGGCATTGCTTATTGTATGATTATTAACTACCATGTGTTCAAAAATAACCCCTATCGTCAAAAGATATCTTCTAGTTTTATTTTCTTACATTGCAAAACGGTCAATGTTCCAATTTCAATATTCTATTTTATCGCATACTATTCCACCATCGATGAAATAATTTAACTTCTAAGATAAACCCCGATCTCTATTTATCTATTTGCAAAGGAAAAAAGAAAATAGAAAAAGCTTAAAGATTTCAAAGGATTTGCATGCGCGTTGTGCGTTGTGCTCGTGTAAGTATATGTATAAATACATGTATACGTAAGCGAATAAATATGTAATAAGTATCTACGTATACGCGTGTATATTTAAATGTGTATTTAAGTATACGCCAAATGTGTCCTCTTTGGAATGGCATACCTTACCTTTCCTTTCGTTCGCGCTTATGATAATTATTAGATAGATGCAGTCCGGATGTGTGAATGCCGATAAAATTTTCATCGCGAATTTAATACGAATGATCTTATTTGCGTTGAACATTTCTATCATAATATTATTCTATTCTTTCAAAGTTTTTTTCTTTGGTTCAATAATCTCAACCATCACTTCAAGGGATCGTGCCAAAATCTTATTTCAAAGTTAATACTTAACGTCTTTATCGATACACGTGGTGGCTTTTATTATCTTACGTTAAAACATTAGAAAATATATATACGACGTGTGTCTAACGCGTTGGATTGCATTCGTAACACATATATATTTCTCTGATCGATAAATAGAGAGAGAATATTTATCGAATTGAAATTTTCCTTCTTGTCAATCACAAAGATCAAGAATGATTAATTATTGCATCCTCAAGCGCATTGGAACAGCTCCAAATTCAAAGTTCGTTCGTTGCATTAACGTTAATTGCCTATTCGCAGGGGAGGTAAAAAAAAAAAAAAGTAGAAAAGAAAAGAAATTGAAATTGTCGTGTCCTGCATCCTTGAAAATCAACTTCTCGGTTCTCTTGTTCGGTTAGAATAAGAGAGACATTATCGTTATCGCATTTGAAATTCTTCTGCGACGCGACACGTGGAAGTAGTCACCATGTAGAGAGAATGATCGACGTAGAATGTATTATTTATAAGTACCATTCGCACATACTTAACGTTGAATTCGTTGATCGTGCGAACTTTTTATTCGGTATGATAAATATCGAAAAAGAAACTAAACAAAAGAAAAGAAAAATTACAAAATAACAATATACATAAATCTAATAATAATCGAGATAAAATATTGATGAAACAAACGCATATATATATATATATATATATCCCTAATTAAATTTAATTCTACGACTAGCAGACTAAGAGACTAAGGTTTTTTCTTTTCGTTTGGGCAAAAAAGAATAAATTAGAAAACAAAAAGTAATAAAAATTGAAAGGTCAGTTCAAGAAAGATCACGAAAGAGTAATTGGCAAATGGAATACGAAGTAATCAAATTTTTGCTCGTAAATCAACAACTTCTTCTTCTTCTTCTTCCTCTCTCTCTCTCTCTCTCTCTCTCTTTTTTATTTAGACGACAGTTTCATAGAGAAGTATTTTATTCCTCTCGTGTGTGTTTCTCGTTCGAGAAAGCTTCGCAAAGTAAAGAGGCCCGCGCAATGGTTGCGCACAGTTGAAGAGGAAAGGAAAGGAAAGGAAAAGAAAAGAAATAAATAAAAAAAAGTCCTGACGCCTGCGCAGGAATGAATTTTCGTAAGAAGGCGCGCACCACGCGAAGAAAAGATAAACGCGTGCTTTTTCGATCAGTGAAGCGCCGGCAAAGCCGGAGGAAGGATCTTCATTTGTCTTTAATTATTATATTTACTTTTTTTTGGGGTTTTTTTTTTTAAATTCGTTCCGAGAGTTCTCCTCGTATATAATAATAGTACGAAGAAAAAAAAGAAAAAGTAGAAAGAATCTTCATCGATCAAAGTTCGTAGATTCTCTCCCATCGATGATCGTTCGATTTGCGTTATTTCATTCTTTTAGGTTTTTTTCAATTTTCATAAATTGAAAAGAACGATTTTTTGAATGAAATAATATCGATAGATCGATGGATCGAATAATACGTAGTTGATTCGTGTTTGTTCTCTTTTTTTTCTTTATTTGTCGTGCTACTTGTTCTCGGAGGATACAAAATTCGAGAAGAATAAAATATATAATCGATTAATTGAAAGATTTGATCTTTTAGATCTTCGTGGAGTATCTTTCTCTCTCTCTCTCTCGAACTTTGAGACAAATAGAAAAGAGAGAAAAGCCTGTAGGTCGAGAATTTTTTCGTTTTTTTCGATGTATATCATCATCTTCCTCTATTTGTTAAATCCAATGATCGTACGTTTCTTATTAATCTAATCGAAGTATTATGAGAATAATCGACAACGTTACGAAGTAAATCATTTTAAAGAATCAGGTTTTGAGAATAAACGAAAGGACTAAAAAAGGGTCCCATTGAGGGTCCCAGATCGACGACCGGTGTTGTCACATCTCCGAAAAACGAGAACGAGTAAGCAAGTTAACAAGCAAGTAAGCAACAGCAACACAACGCCAAAAGTGGGGAATACGATAAGAGAAAACTCATAATTTTTCCTTTATTTTGATCGTTCGAAGAGAATGATGCATTCGATACTGACGTTTGTGTGAATTCAACTAGAAAACAAAATATCTTTTGAGTTAGATGATACGGAAACTTAACGAACGATGGCTCCTCGAGTTCTCTTTGAATTCAATCAAATTACGAACGATCAAAGGGAAGATTGAAAAAGGAAAGATAGCTAAACGATAATAAAATTATCTATTTACGAAAGAAAGAACAAAATTATAGAAGGTAGAAGTGACAGATAATTAAGATCGTTCGATCGATAAAATAAAATATGAAGATGGTTGATGAAATAAAATCGAGTTTCCATACGGAAACTTGGCAAAATGATACTATCATTAATCTGACCAGCACTATGATGACTACGAATAATATTAATCTTCCAATCATACCTAAAAGACACGTGACATTTCTTTCCCAAGCAGTTCTCACTTTGGTATACATTACCGGTGTTATCGGCAATGTTTCAGCACTGGTCATTCTCTTCCATCGTGATAAGGTAAAGAAAATAAGGGGAATAGAAGAAAAAAATAAAGAAAAAAAAAACAAATAAAACACAATTCCCACTTAAGCCCCATTATACTTATTTTCTCTCACACATCTTATATCTCACGTTTATTGATTCTTACCTTGACTGTTTTATTTCTTTTCTATGTTTATAGAGAAGAAACCGTAAACACCTGCTGATGTTACGTTGCTTGGCAAGTAACGATCTCGTTGCGTTATTAGGCATGTTGGTACAAATGTATATCAGCATTTACGTGGCCGGTGTTACATCGAGTCGAGAATTTTGTTCGCTCAGAGTTGTTTGGAGACTTTTTGGATTGTTCAGTGGTTGCGTAGCTATCGTTATGGCTGCTGAAAGATGGCTAGCTTTAACAAGACCTTTCGTTTATCAAAAGGTAAGCAGACTTAAAGATTTTTAATTAATAAAAAAAGAAGAAAAATAAGTATATATCGTTTTTCGTTCTAATACTTATATTAATGCATTTTTTTTTTCCTTAACACATTCTCCTACTTTAATTTTATTTTAATCATTCGTGCGTAATGTTTAACAGTGAAACAATAAATATAAACGATGATGATCATAGCACGCACCAACGAGCATCTTAATTATCAATTTATTCCTTTTTTAAAATGCGTCATGTTTCTCTCTCGTTTATATGGAAATGAATTCTTTAATTAATGTATAAGTAAAAAAAATAATAATAAAAGCGATAACGAATGTGCTCACTCTTATATATATATATACGTTACTTCTTTTTTTTTTTTTTTTATATTTATTCGAGAATCAAAGTTCGGTAAAATTCAGACATCTCAAACATGTTTTTCTTCGGATCGAATCGATGAACAAGATAAGCTTGTACGTTCTTATTCCTACGTATACATATATGTATGTATTCATAGAAGATTGGTACATGTTATACCGAGTTGACCCATTTCATGATACTCTTAAGATGATCTACTAGTCCCAAAGAAACATATCAAACGATATTCTTACTTGAAGTAACGATATATCTCGACAAAATTATCTCGGAATCGTGACATCGATTATTGAATTTGTCGCGTTGAGTCAGGATTTCAATATAATTCGGTATTAAAAATCTTTAAACGTTTGTATTGTTAACACTACAAAAATAAATACAATGTATTAAACGAGATGGGAATACTAATTTTTGCTACTCGTGTACGTCCGGGTTTTATTATTACCTTCGAATCGATAAATCAGCAGGTTTCTTACAAAATTTAGGCTTATACCTATTATAAAATGTACGGAGACGAAACAAAAAAAATGACAAGTATTTATCGTCTATAAAAAGTTCAAAGTTCATTGATTACTTACTAATTCACGTAACATTACGCGTAGGAAAAACATTCGTAGAAACGATAAGCAAAATACTGACTGTTCCAGTCTCTTATTTTATTTATTTCGTATCGTGAAATTTGATAACCGGACAGTACGAGTAAAAGGCCATTGACCAGCACTCAAGTTCGCTTAATCGTTAACGACCACGATATATTTCAGTTTTTAACCCTCAAACATATCCAAGGCCGAATACAAATTAATATAGGTCACCAGTTACACTGTTCAAGTTCTAACCTCTTATCGAATTTATTCTATCAAATTTCAATTTAAAAATACATTTTACCATACCTTTACTAACGTGTTTTAATTCTATTTAATTCTCATAATGTCTCATTTGTTAATAATATTCAATTATAACTATTCTTCTGTAACATTTTTTGAGAGAGGGAAAAAAAGTGAATATATAGTTTCATATTTTCATAATAAGAGATTTCAACGAAATTTATTAATCTACTATGTTATTTAAATTTAAATCTAATAATCTTCGTTCGTCAAAAAGAAACGTGCATAAATTAGTAGTTTTTGTTTTTTTTTATTATCATGTTTCGTGTTTCTTTGGAATTAGTGTTACCATTCAAGCAGGGGAAACTTCTCATCGTAAATCTTGACGCGTTGTTTTTATTTTTATTAAAGTAGAACCAACATATGTTATATCTTGCGTATAATATATTGCGTGGAACGTGTTATTATTTTTAGAAACAAATTTGGGAATGTTCAACATTTTTATTTATACATTTACAGTATTTATATTACATCAATGTTACTCTTTGAATATTAAGTTAAACATAAATTACATTATTTTATTTTAAGAAAATATATTTA